AAAAAAATCTGTTCCCCTCAAATCAAATTGACTCTCTCTGACTTCAAACAGCTTCTGAGTACTGCAGCAAAGCATTTTATTTTGTGCTTTATACATTATCTGTGCCATTTTATATTCGACTAGATCCTAAAATTTCAGGGTATTCAAATTAATAAACAAAATGTTAGTTGGTTCTATATAGCTCGATTGATGTATAATTCTCATAGTTCTTTTTTGTAACTTAAAGCTAGGAAGAGTATTGGGTTTATATGTATTGCCCCATATCTCTAGGCAGTAAGTCATATATGGAAGCCACAGAAAACAACAAAGTGTGTATAATGATTTCTTGTTCAGGACATCCTTTGTTTTATGGAGAATAGCAGTGGTTTTTGACGTTTTCATTTTGACATGGTTTATATGAGACTTCCAAAAACGTATCATCATTATCACTCCAAGAAATTTATTTTCATACACTCTTTCAATTTCAAATCCATTAGCCCTGATTTTAGCCACATTTTTCCATTTGTCTGGTGCCAAAAATAATAAATTTTGTTTTGTTTATATTTAATGATAACTTATTTATGTCACATCAATTTTTCAGTATATTTAACTAATTTCCACAGTAGTCAGAAGCTGTTCTAGGTTCTTACCTGAGCAATACAGAAAGATATCATCAACAAACAAAACACATTTTAACAGTGTTGCAACAGGGCTGCAACAGATTTAGTGAGGCCAGAATGGAGTGTGTGAGAGAAGTGTCGGAGTGCATCTAGAAAGCTGCATGCGTGGGTGCTGAACCAAAAGTCGAGAAAGAAACTGTCAGTAGAGTGTCACTACAATAAAAGAGAAAATAAGCACGGACAGTGTGTTTACTTGTGGTCTTTTTTCACTGTCTTGTTGGCTTTTAATCAAGTCATTGCATTCTGTTTTTACATTTCACACAACAAGCTAACTTGCTTGGAATTGAATTTGTAGTTTGGGATTTTTTTGGGAAGTTGAAATTATAAATGAAAAAAGTAGAAAAAATGGTGCACATACAAAATGTATAGTTTTAAGATTCTTTT